TTTTGGCGATCAATTCATTAAGATGATTCAAACTCTATACTCTAACCCCTTGGCTAGAGTAACTACAGTGGGAATTATTTCAGACACTTTTTGTATTAAGAGGGGAACAAAACAGGGTTGCCCTCTCTCTCCTCTTTTGTTTAATCTATCAATAGAACCACTGGCTCAATTTATTAGACAATGTAAAAACATTACCCCAATTCAGTTAGGCTCATCTGTCCATTCTATCTCTTTATATGCTGATGACATACTTCTATTTCTATCAGATTTACAAAATTCACTACCCAATGCCCTCACAGCTTTAAATGAATTTGGAAGAATTTCTGGTTTCAAAATAAACTACTCTAAATCAGTTCTGATGCCCCTTAATCCAATTGGCCATAATGTTACTAATAATACTAATATAAAAATATCAACAAAAGTCAAATATTTAGGAATTGAGCTGAGCCCAACCTTACAACTCATACCTAAAATAAACTATATGTCAATTTACAGTAAGGTTGAGGCTGATATCCAGAGATGGATGCGCCTACCCTCATCACCACCCGCCAGAATTTCAACAATAAAAATGAATATCTTGCCCAGAATTAATTTCATAAGCTCCATGCTTCCCCTCCCTCCACCTCCAAACTATTGGAAAAAGTTAGACTCAATTTTAAACAAATTTGTTTGGAATGGAAAACGTCCCCGTGTAAAATGGTCCACTCTCCAAAAAAACAAAACAGAGGGTGGATGGGCCTGCCCTAACTTCAAATTATACCACTGGTCATTTATTCTGCTCTCAGTTGTGAAATGGTTCGAACCTGATATGCAATGTTCTTGGAAAGAAATAGAAAAAGACCTTATTTTTCCAACACGTCTGCAAGACTTTCTGTTCTCAGGCTTTAACCATAGGAAATGTATATTGCGCTATGGACCTATTTTATCCTATACCCTCCAAATTTTTAAAAAGGTAGAAACTTATTTTCCTTCCAGAACCACCTGGCATAATCATTCTCCTCTGTGGCACAATGTGAACCTACTTTCTGGTAGACAACCTTTTAATCAACCATCATGGGCCAATAAAGGTATTCTAACACTAAAAGACATAAATGGAGAAAAATCTATTTTAGATTTTCAAGAGCTGGTTAACAAATTTAATATATCTCCCAACACTCTTTTTATATATTTTAAAATAAGGGCAGCACTAAAGGCTCATAAGACACCATGGGGTAAGGATCTTCATACCCACCCAATTGTGAAATGGATATATAATGCTCCAAGAAAAGGAACTGTTTCCTATCTCTACTGCTGTCTTTCTAATATTAATGCACATAGTTTCTCAAAAGAAAGACTATGGCTATCTGATATGTCTCGACCCAATACAACTATCGATTGGGAAACTGTATGGCATAATACATTCCACGCTTCCACAAACCCTAATCACCAGTTTATTCATTTTAAAACTATCCACAGGGCATATTTAACCACACGTATACGACATATCATAGGTTTATCTCCAGATCCATATTGTAAGTTCTGTGAACCACAGCGTCCAGATACCTTTTTACATATGATGTGGGAATGTCCGGAGGTTCAAAAACTTTGGGATTCGGTACTGGACATTTTATTTAAAGTTACAAAAATTTGTTTCCCCAAAGACCCTATACTGTTACTATTGAATGATAACTCTCAATTTCCCTTAAATGCAAAGGTCCGTAAATTTTGGTTAGCTGCTTCAACTGCTACAAAGAAAATGTTGGTACAAAGGTGGAAACCTCCTCATGATCTCTCAGTTAAGCACTGGCTACATTCATTATTGGAAATACTATATCTGGAACTGTCATCAGCACGGATCAACCATGCCAAAGTGGACATTCTTACGGCATGGAAAATCTACATATGCAACGTCAAAGAAATCTTGGACACTTAACCCTCATCTGATGCTACGGATGACAACTTAATGGAAATTATCTAACAGATTGGTCTAAACTATAGTTATTCTGTGTTTCCTGATGTGCGTATAATGGGGTGGGGGGGTGGGAAATATATATGGGGTTATATCTGTTAAAAGTATTTTGTTATCTGATTGTAAAAATTGTATATTCTCACTATCGGAAATAAAAAAAACTGAATTACAAAAAAAAAAGAAAATAAAATGAATGAATGAATGAATGAATGAATAAATGAATGAATGAATGAATTTAATAAAAGTTAAACTGACCTGTTAACATGTCTGTCAGGAGCTGATCTACCTGATAATAAATTTTTTGCTTAATTTTTTTAACAGGTAAATCAATACATATATATATATATATATTTGTACAAAAAATGGTTCCAGTAGTAACGCTCCTTAAAGTTAAACTACATATTCACATTCCTCATCTGTCTACCGTTACATTATACTAATCACTGTTACATACAGTGGCCGAGAGTGCAAAGAGAGTAATAAAACACAGACAAAGAAGACAGCTTTGTCACTTTTTCTATGCTATTTGTGAGATTGTGTATGTTGTCAAACTGATGAAAATGTTTTCTCAATTTACTTTAACATTTTTGTGTTTATGTTTTTATAACTTGCAGCCGTTGTTAAATTTAAAAGTATTTTAAACATGGATGGACATCTAAATGGATATAGGGCACATATCTCAAAACATTATGAAATATTTACAGATAAATCAATTTTGAATTAAAATGTATATTTATCTTCAGACTTGCATCTCCCTGATCTTTTTAAAAGAACGGCCCCTCGTTTGCTCATCACTGTTTGACAAGTGTCTGGCAGTCAGTCAAAAATATACTTACATATAAAGATGTTCATCAGCTACACAGCACTTAGGTTAAACTTTGACCTCCTTTTCAGTTGATGTGGAAAACAAAAGCAAAAGAAAGAAAAAACAAAACGACTGAATACAAGTTGCATATCATGCCTGTACAAATCAAAATGTATTCATTTAGGGCTTAAATTGACTTGTTTGAGGATGAGTTAAGGTGTAAGGGATGGGTGAACGGTGTAAATATACATGTAATTCATAGCTATGATGTAAAGCTGAATTTTCAGCATCATTACTTAAGTCTTCAGTGTCACTTGATCTTTCAGAAATCTTTTTTAAAGATGTTGATTTAGTGCTTGAGGTTGAACTAATATAATGGTGATTATCAAATGGTGCTGATTTGCTGCTCAAGAAACATTTCTGATTGCTATCAATGCTAAAAACAGATGTGATGACAAATAATTTAGTGTAAACTTTTTTCTAAGATTTAATAAATCAATTAATCATAAAAAAATTAAACAAAATGAAAATAACAAATATTACTTCATTAGCAGCAAATCTGCATATTTATTAAGTTCTGAAGAATCATGTGATGTGAAATGTAATACCACTAACATGTTTCAATGTCAAAACTTTCTTAAAATAACTGCAATAAAGACAAGTAACAGATGCATAATATATAGACATGTAACATTTGCATAATGATGTGCAATGGAAATTCATATGAATTAATCCTCTGCTTAAAGTTACCTGTCTTTTCTGCATCTCTGTGATCAGCTCCCTTCAGAAATTTAGGAATCTTGTGTTATGTTTTCTGTAGCAGGGGGTTATTCTCTCACTCCTGAAACCACAGAACACTTTTTTACTTAACATTTGTTTAAGATAACGTTACTATGAAATATCAAAACACGATTGAACTTTTGATTCACGGTCCTTTACAGTACAATGCGTATTAGACTAACGTTACCTATGGAGTGCATTAAATAAAACATTGACAAAACCTCTCATCTACACATAAAGAATAAATAAAAGCCTAAACTTTAACAAATAAGTTTAACAAGAGCTAACATTAAGTAAGTTAACGTAATATTACCCCGACGCTAACGTTACCAGTGCTAATATGCTAACGGACTTTTACGAAGACTTACCACTCTTATATAACATAATATTCAACTGAATATTCATCAATTGCCAATAATAAAAGTGTGAGGAACAGTTTTATGTAGTATTTGCTTTGTTTTAGGGACTAAACTTACCTGAAAACTGTCAAAACGGCAGCTTGAGAGAAGTCGTGTTGTGTCTTTCAGGTGGTGTCGTGTAGCTTCGTTTCCCATAGCAACATCCCCTCCGCTCCAGTGTTGGAATGAGACGCGCGCGCGCACATCAAAGTCATGCAGTATTACATTTATAAACATGATCACTCCATAGACTATTTAAATAATAACCTTGTATTTTATATATTGAATTAAAAATGTATTTAGTAGTTTTATATACGCTATTATCTTTAAGACGAGCTTTATAGCCTACTAAACTGTTACAAAACAAACACTTATTTGTGCATCAGATTCACTGTCAAAAATAAATAACCAATAAATATAAATGCAAGTATATATAAAACAAAGATGTCACTCTGTAAAAAGGTGTTTATTTTAATTAAACAGCCGAACATGCAGAACATACTTGATTTTTACACTGGGAAAAATGTATTAGAAAAAGCCACAATAAAAAAAGCAAACAGCAGTTAACACCAGAAAAAAAACAACGTTTTCATTATTTAAGCATAACAACAAAACTTTTTATATTTTAATGAATTGAAATCATGTGTTGTAGGCATTTTGGTCAGTTTTACTGCATTAATGTAGACTATTTAAAGCTGGACCGACCGACGCAGTTCACATGATGCATGTCGCGTTTGTCTAATTTATTATGCACGCAAAAAATTACTTGTAAACCAAATATGTTGCCGGATTCCTTCATGGGCATGAGAGATAAAGTGCTTATGAAGTGCTTCGTCGGCCTCTGGTCGTTAACCGATGCAGAGCCGACGTTTGTTGAGCTGGAACAATAGAACACACGACCGAACGATCATGCGTATGTTTGGCCGACCATATACCGATGTTAGAATTAAAGGGGCCGACGTGTTGACCTTCGGCCGACGTCGGCCCAACGTATGTGTGCTGTCTGGGAAGTGTCCAAACACAGAGAAAAACTCCTGCTGAAGCGACTGATCTCCACACTGTTATAAAGATGGTGTTTATTAAAGAGGAGAGTGAAGATGTGAAGATTGAAGAAACATTCACAGTCAAACAGGAAGATCTGCAGGAACAAACAGGTTGGTTGGTTCAACTCAGTCATTTTATCCTCATTCAGATATATTTTAATAATAAGAATACTAAATTAAATCCATCTTGCAGCCCTGAGCACATAAGCACTTATTGAAAGACAGGAACGAGTTTCTTTTGTTACTTGTTCTCAGGTCTTTTGTCATTATTTTATGTATTATTAGTCTCCCATTTTCTCTACCTTCTTAAGGTTGTTGCTTTTTTTGTTCTCCTACTGTTTGTAAGGTGTCCTTGAGCACTAAAAACGTCCTTGAGCACTAATGTCGTTTTAAAATTATTATTGAACGAATCCTTATATTTGCGCGTCACTATACAAATTTATCAGGACTTTGATAAAATGAAAATGGAAAGGATTGGAAGGGAATTTGCTGTGCTCTATCATTGATAGGGAAAAGGAGACTCTTTGCTAGGTTTACTTTGTATCCAGAAACATTTCCAAATTCTGAGATTATTGTAAGAGCTTTTGGAATACATGTATCTGGATTTGACAGAAAAAGAAGATCATCCGCATATTATTATTAATATAGTCAGTCGTCGACTGAGGTGGGCCGGTCTAAGGCTTGAAATTCCAGAGCTAAAAAGGAGTCCCACTCCGGCCCTGTTCCCTGTCTGCTTTACACATTTTAGAAAATATTTTGTTGTAATTATGAATATATACAAATAAAAATTCCATTTACAGCTTTCAAATCTGTCTTATTAATATGACCAAAATTACTTTTATGATCAATTATGTAAGAAAGTCTGAAAACTGGACTGACACGGTTTCAATTTACTATAACTTCTATGTTAAGTGGCTTTGACACAATTTACATTGTAAAAACACTAGATAAAGATTAATTGAATTGAATCTGCTTAAATGTGTACACGTTAATGGACCAAACAAAATATGATCTGATTTATTTTACATTTACCATGCATCAAAATTGCAGTGTGTGTAGCCAATGTTTCCAGTGTCTTTTCACTTTTCAGATTTTGATGAGAGTTTTAAGACTTAATGAAAACATGTTTTATTTATTTCAGACCTAATTGAAAAGAATGAGAGGAAAGAGGAGGAACATCATGTCAAAATTGAGGAAAAAACTCATTTACAGACTGATGGTATTTTGAAAAGGGGAGACAAAAATAGTTTCACCTGCACTCAGTGTGGAAAGAGTTATGGAAGTAAAGACTATCTTAAGATTCACATGAGGATCCACACTGGAGAGAAACTATTCACATGCCCTCAGTGTGGGAAGAGTTTTGGAAGAAAAAGGGAACTTAAGATTCACAGGAGGATCCACACTGGAGAAAAACCATACACATGCACTCGGTGTGGGAAGAGTTTTAGCCAATCATCAAACTTAAATCAACACATGAGGATCCACACTGGAGAGAAACCATTCACATGCACTCAGTGTGGAAAGAGTTTTAACCGATCATCATCCCTTAATGAACACATGATGATTCATACCGGAGAGAAACCTTTCACATGCACTCAGTGTGGGAAGAGTTTTGGAAGAAATTTCGATCTTAAGATTCACATGATGATTCACACTGGAGAGAACCCATTCAGATGCACGCATTGTGGGAAGAGTTTTAGCCAATCATCATACCTTAATCAACACATGAGGATCCACACTAGAGAGAACCCATTCACATGCACTCAGTGTGGGAAGAGTTTCCACCGATCATCATCCCTTAATAATCACAAGACGATCCACACTAGAGAGAAACCCTTTACTTGCACCCAGTGTGGAAAAACCTTTAACAACTCATCACACCTTTATGAACACATGCGGATCCACACTGGAGAGAAACCATTCACATGCACTCAGTGTGGGAAGAATTTCAACCAATCATCAAACCTTAATCGACACATGAGGATCCACACTAGAGAGAAACCATTCACATGCACTCAGTGTGGGAAGAATTTCATCTGCTCATCATCCCTTAATCTACACATTATGAGCCACACTGGAGAGAAACTTGCACTTAAGCAGCGGTCACAATGGACTTTTTTCCCCATGGATTTCCATTCATACGCACGGGAATGTGTCAGACCGGAAACCAAGTTTGTGTGTCAAGTTTCGCAGTTCACTGCATTGCAAAGTTCAAGCTTGGTGAACTCTGACCTGCAAAATCGCATCACTTGACTGTGTGAGACCAATCAAAGATCAAAACATGACCTTTATGGACAGAAATGTAAAATATGGACCAATAGCTCGCTTTTTATGTCTAATAATCTTGTTTAATCCCGCCGCTTTCCACAGCGCCAAACAACAGAATTTTGCATGCTCAAACTCTAGTGTGACCGCAGCTGCGGTGTGGGATGAGTTTCAGCAACTCCTCAGACCTTAATAAAGACCCACGCTGGAGATAAACCATTAAATGCACTCCGTGTGGGAAGTTTCAACCGATTAGCAAACCTTAATGAACACATGAAGATCCACACTGGTGTGAAAGAGTATATGTGCTTGAGTGTGAGAAGACTTTTATTTCAAAATTTAAACTGCACCCGACGTTTCACACTGGAGAGACCGTACAAGTGTTCACACTGTGACAAGAGGTTTAATCAGTAACACATCTGAAAACACAAAAGAGTATTCACACTGGAGAGAAACCATACAGATCTGATGAGTGTCTACAGAATTGGACAAAAGTTGCACACATGACATGAATGCAGCAAAACATTTTCTCTGTGCACAATGTTTGAAAAGGCTGAGTGACAGTATACTGTTTTCCAACACTCCCACATTGCAGTAGGTGGGGTTGTAAATGTGTTGCGCTCCTCGCGTTTACCATAAACACAATGCTCGCGACTGAGAGAAGAACAGTTTCATAAACATCTGACAAACAGCATCTCAGCAGCTTAAAATCTCTCTTTGCAAGTGATTGTACAGGTGCGGATACATCTGTACTCCACTCTCCAGTGTATTCATGTAGCTAGTGTTGTTTTGGATGATGTTCTCTGTCTGTCTCCCTGAATGAGTAGCATCACTGGAAAGACACAAATAAATAAAGATGTATTATGAATATTTTATGATTTAGGCAGAGCGACAGGTATTAAGTTTTACAATATTAATACACTTTGATGATCCCAAGACTCCAGATTGGAGTATGTGGTAAATCCTGATTGGATGCCTGCATTACTCATCAATGGGTATATAAAAGTTGTTGTGCTAGGCTGCTAGCTAATCCAGGACGCTGTGGCTACTCAGGAGTCCTCCTGTCAAGACCTGCCATCTCATTAAATCTTTAACCTTAAAATTTTGTTTTGCATTGCTTGTATCATGTAGCTAAACTGTTGTTGTGATTATATCCTAAGTTCTTTATCTTCATTATTATCCCTAGACATTTGCTGGTTGCTTTGATTGATGGTTTTATGAGTTACATTTTATAATAAATAATTTGCATTCAGGCTATTTTGTTGGCTCATCTCTCTTTTATGCTGCGACTCAAACAAGCAGATCATAACACTTTGTGAAATGTGTCCGGTTGTATTTAAGATCTTGTCCTTTCAGTCATGACCATAGGTGAGAGTAGGAACCTTGATTGAGCGGTAAATTGAAAAAATTGCCTTTCATCTCAGCTCGTTCACCACAACAGACAATCACATCAACTGCATTACTGCTGCCACTGCACTGATCCATCTTTTAATCTCACATTCCATTCCTCATGAAAAAACGCAGATACTTAAGCTACATTTGAGTTAAGGACTTTCCTTCAAATTGGAGATGGCCACCTTTTTCCAGTCGAGCACCATAATCTCTGACATAGAGGTGCTGTTTCTTTCCCTGCCATGTCACACTCAGCAGTAAACAGCAGTGGTGGGAGTAACGAATTACAACTACTCATGTTACTGTAATTAAGTACATTTTTGGGGTAATTGTACTTCCATGGGTAGAATTTTAAGCCTTTACTTTTACTTGTACATGAGTACAAATTAAGCTGAGTAATCTACTTTGTAACTTTTAAAATCACAATTCGTTACAGAGTACTGTAAATAAATTAATATTTCAAGCACGCACTGACCAGCATTTCGGTAGCCAATAAAAAAGTTCATCTTAATGGACCAATGAAAAGCCTGGTATATTATTTGAACCGAAAAACAAGTTCAGGCTACTGCAGATTTACGTGAGCTGACCGTCATCATCATACAGTCACAAAGTTATCAATTGACATATGGAGATTTAAGACAGAAGAAATGAGGAAGAAAAAGCAGAGGATGAATGCCCATGGCCACACCCGGAGGAGCTGTTCACCTACAGGTACATAGGGAAGAAAGGGGACAGCTGTGCTGATGCAGTGTGAATAGCTATGTTATCATCTTAAATGCTAATTAAATGTATGCCCAAAACTAGAATATTGCATAAAAGACTATGCAAATAAAGCAGCGTTTCCATCCAACAAGTCAAAGAGAACAAAATCGCCACCTTCTGATTAACTGGAGACAAACATCAAAAGTAAAAACAGAATATGCATCGGTGGGAGCAGCTGCAGGAATATATTATCTTTATTTAATAAATGACTTGCGCCTCAGAAGGCAATCCTGACACGCAGTGAACGCGCGCTGGTGTTTGAAGTCGCGAGACACGGAGTGCAAACACTCTTGACAATTTTGGAGGTCATTAAAATATTAATATAATAACAATACTGAAATGGTTGAGGCGGTTTAAAATGACCAAAACAACACTTTAGATGTTTTACAATGTGCTTAGCCTGCTGTTTTGTCCATTCACACACATTTTCCAAAAATATGCGCATTATAGAGTTTCCATCAACCGTTTTTATGTGCATATCCAAAAAGCGCAGAAATAAGTGGATCAAACCTGCACTCTGCTGTGCCATCTGGCTTACACAGGGTTTCCGTGGGGTCTTAAAAGGTCTAAAATATAAACATCAAAATTTTAGGCCTTAAAAAGCCTTAAATTCGCTGTTCTAGGTCTTAAATATGTTTGCACAGGTCTTATTTTCCGATGTACATGTAACGCTACTCCTAATGCTCATTTAAATAATTTTTTGTTGTTGCTTGGTTTCGTGGTGGTGTAGTTCTTTATTTCACTAGTCTTAATGTAATTTGCGGTATTAAAACTACAAATAAGACCAGCATGCAATAGCTCAGTGCGCGCGGTATATGTGACGTCATTGCCAAGTTTGCGGAGGTTCACTTTGGAAGCGCGCAACATGATTTTGGGTGAAGAGTTCATGCGGAGCCACGTTTGATTTGAGTTGAATATGAGTCACTTTGAAGGGATTTTGTCTGAAACAGTACGACTGTACAGACATCTTAACGATCCGACCATGCGTGATCACCATTGAGATAACCTGGCCAATAATTCTTGGATAGAAATAGTAACAGCCGTGGAAAGGAAGTGTTTTGTTAAAAAGTTTGGAAAAACCTGGTTTTTGTACTGGTTTTTGTTGTAAAGTTTGTTACAACAAAAAAGAGGCCATGGCAAAAGTGGAGACCCAGGTGGTTTTAATATTACAGAATATGTTTTTCCACCATTTGTAGGTTTTACACTGATGTATATTTTTGAAGTTAAAACAATGTAACAAAAATTAACTAACAAATTAAGTCTTTGATAACTGGAAAAGAATATATGAACCTATCGGCTTACAGTATACTGATGCCCAATTTCTAGGCTTTATTGGTGATGATGGACAGGATTGTTGGACCATTATTGCCTTTTCAGCTCATAAGTAGAGGACAGAAACTAGCCAGACAATAATGTGTCAATTGTTGAGTGGGCAAAATAATTAAAAGTTTCTTTTGCTATTATTCTTGCCAGAATAAAAAATATAATTGTAGAGTAACTCATGTTCTGTTGTCATTGATATTTAACTTTAATAGGTAGAACTGTCTGAGATATAAACAAAAGTGAATGATGCATCAAAGTTTGATTTAAAAAATCTTGAATAGTTATAAAACTTTATAATCATTCATTAATTTTCTTTTTGACTTAGCTCCTTTATTAATTTGGGGTCACCACAGCGGAATGAACCGCCAATTCATCCAGCATATGTTTACACAGCGGATGCCCTTCCAGCTGCAACCTGTTCTCATTTACAACAACAGACAATTTAGCTTACCTAATTCACCTAAAATGCATGTGAGCATGAACATGCAAACTCCATAAAGAAATTCCAACTGACCCAGCCGAGGCTCGAACCAGTGACCTTTTTGCCTCGAGTTGAGAGCGCTTCCTACTGCGCCACCCCGTCACCCAACTTTGTAATCATAATAAATTATAAAAGTAATAAAAAATTATAATTTTAAAAATCTTGAACAATATTAATGATATAGTTCCGGAAACCTTCTACTTCTCTGTTCATCCATCTGACTTTACGGTGGGTTTCTTTTGACTGGCCCCTGATGTTTTAAAGAATATCACAATGACGAACGCGTCAAGTATTAAAGCCTCGTCCATTTCATGAGGTGCGCGCACAGTCAGTGGAGGGGTGCAATGTGGAGCCAGGCGAAAGTATAAATCAGCCTCAAAATGTTTGTTTCTTTGGGGTTTTTTTGTTTCTGCACTTCAATAGTGCATCTAACCTGTCTTCAGTACTGTTCAATGTAAATAATTTTATTTTACCAAAAATTTTGTGTTTTTGCATTTTCTATTGCGTGCTTTTGATATTGCAATATAGGTCTTAAATTTAATACTTTATGGTCTTAAAGAGGTCTTAAATTTGACATTATGATATCTGCAGAAACCCTGCTACAAGACTTCATTCTATAATCTGAAAAAAAAAACACATCATGGTAAGAAGACATATAACTTAATTTGTGTGATATTTAATTTATTAATAATATGTTTAGGCACTAGGCAGTGTTGTTCTGTGGTTTCTGACGGTTCAGTTTGTGAATTAGGTAATTATCAAAGTTTCTCCTTAATTTGCAAGTGT